ATCTGTCCAGATTTAGGGGGTCCCAAATTCCTCCAGGACCATAAGAAAGGGACGGGTAGCAGCACGCTTAGAGGTCGTTAATTAAACTCGCTCATATACCATTAAGGGATGGGTAATGGGTAGTAAAAGGATATGATGACGGCGCGCTAATGCCACGTGTAGCCCCTCATTGAGGCTTGATTACCGGGCATTGCATGGGTATGATCCTGCAGGCTAATCAACCGAGGACTCCCCTTTCCCAATTCCATATGTGTTTAAATTTTATAAACTTTCTTCTCTTTACATATACATGTGCAAATTGTTCAAATCTCTCTCTTGCTCCCATTACCTGAATCGTACATGTATTTAGAATGTGAAAACATACCTTTATTTGCAAATATGTGTTGAAACTGTTTACTTGTTCAAAATGACTGATTCATATAAGTTCGACCGGGACCCACCGTTGTGGACCGCGAGGGGTGCCTAACACCTTCCCCTCAAGGTTATTTCGAGCCCTTACCCTAATCTCTGGTAATGCAACTAGTTACATGAGATAATTACTTTAGGTGCCCTAACGCATCATAACCCGTTAGGTGGCGACTCTTCAAAACACCCAATTCCCAAAAGGACGAGTCGATTCCCCATGAATGTCGAAACCCGGACTTTCTCTGCGAGGAGGAAAAAAGGGGGCACGACAAGTACAAGATGCCTTGGATAAGGTCAAGATTATTCAGGATCGACTTCGCACAGCTCAGTCCAGGCAGAAAAGTTATGCCGACCATAAAGTTTGTGATGTTGCATTCATGGTCGGAGAGAGAGTGTTGGTTAGGGTGTCACCCATGAAGGGTGTAATGAGGTTCAGAAGGAAGGGCAAGTTGAGCCCTAGATATATTGGGCCTTTTGGGATTCTTGATTGAGTGGGAGAGGTGGCTTACAGGCTTGCATTGCCACCTAGTTAATTAGCGGCCCATCCAGTGTTCCATGTGTCCATGCTTCGGAAGTATCACGGTGATCGATCCCACGTGTTAGACTTCAGCACTATCCAGTTGGACAAGGATTTGACCTATGAGGAAGAGCCGGTGGCTATTCTAGCCCGGCAGGTTTGTCAGTTGAGATCGAAGAGTTATCCTTTAGTTCGAGTGCAGTGGAGAGGTCAGTCTGTTGAGTCAGCTACTTGGGAGTCCGAGGCGGACACGAGGAGTAGATATCCCCACCTTTTCACCAGCCCAAGTACTTTTCTATGTCCGTTCGAGGACGAACAGTTGTTTTAGAGGTGGAGAATGTGATCATCCGATAGGTCATCACATGTTTTAGAACTAAGTTCTGTGTTCCGAAGCCTTAAGTATCTTAATTTAGACTTTCTTGATTTGCGTGCGCAGTCCAGGTGTTTTTCTGGAAGGCATATATGCTAAAAACTGATAAAAATAAGAATTTTTGCCTTAAAAGTTAATTTTAGTTGACTTCAGTCAACGTTTTGAGTAAACGGATCCGGACCCGTATTCTGACAGTCTCGGTGGTCTGTATTGAAATATGGGACCTGGGCGTATGCCTGAAATCGAATTCCGAGGTCCCTAGCTCAAGATATGATTTTTTGTTGAAAATTGAAAGACTGAAAATTTAATGGTTTTTAAGTATTTGGTTAATGTTTGGTCTCGTTGTTATCGAGTCCGTATTTTAGTTCTGGAGCCCGGTACAGGTCCATTATAATATTTAAGACTTGTCTGTGAAATTTGGTGAGAAACGGAGTTGGTTTGACGTGATTCGGACGTTCGGTTGTGAAAATAGAAGTTATAAAGCCTTCTTGAAAATTTCATTCAATTTGGTGTTCAATTCGTAGTTCTAGGTGTTATTTTGGCGATTTGATAACGCGAGCAAGTTTGTATGATGTTTATGGACTTGTGTGCATGTTTAGTTTGGAGCCTCGAGGGCTCGGGTGAGTTTCGGATAGGCTTCGGGATGATTTGAACTTAGGAATATCTGGTGTTTTTGCTGCAGCCGGTGTTCTGGTGTATTGTGCTTCGCGGTCGCGAAGGGGATCTGGGATGGGGGAGGATTTCACACTACGCGAGCGCAAGATCATGGCCGCGAACGCGGAGTACTGGGAGGATTGCTCTACGCGAACGCGACCCGTCTCACACGAACGTGTAGCTTTAGCTAGGCTGAGTAAGGGAGTTGAGGTGACTCTACGCGAATGGGAGCCCCGTCTCGCAAACGTGGAGGTCAGGGGGGATAGACCTTCGCGAACGCGTACAGTTACTCGCGATCGCATAGGCCACTTAGGCCCTGCTCTTCGCGAACGCGACAGTGTTCACGCGAACGCGATGAACACTGTGCTATTAAACAGTCCCATTACGGCATTATGGCCATTCTTTCAAATTTTCAAAAGATAGAAAGCCTAGAGACGATCCACCCAATATATTTTCTTCCCCAAATTTTTGGTTAGTGATTTTAACCTACATTTTTTCAATTACCCATTACATTTCATGAATTTTCAACCTAAAATCTAGAGTTTTCATGGTAGAATTGGGGGGTTTTTGGTTAGAAACAAGGGATTTGGAAAATTGAGGATTTAGACCACAATTTAGGTCGGATTCCAAAACTAATTATATGTCCAGGCCCGGGGGTGAATGGGTAAACGGATTTTTGTCCGAACCTCAGGTTTTGACTAGGCGGGCCCGAGGCCGGTTTTGATTTTTTGGGGGAAAGTTTGGGAAACCTAAATTTATGCATTGTAGTTGATTCCTTTAGCAATATTTGATGTTATTGAGTTCATTGTGACTAGATACGAGTGGTTCGGAGGCGAGTTCTAGGGGAAAGGCCCCGATAGAGCTTTGAATTGACAGCGGAGCAAGATAAGTGTCGTGGTTAACCATAGCTTGAGAGATTAGGTTTTATTTGCCTATTTGCTACGTGTTTGAATGTTGAGTACAACGTATAGGTGAGGTGACGAGTACCTATGCGTTGTTGCCGAGTCATAGCATGCGAGTGAGTCTTATTCATGTAATTGTAGCTTTCCGTGATCATATTACCCATGCTTAGACTAGTTAATCGTTATGTTGATCGTTCTTATCATATTTACGGATTTTGGTATTAATTGAGTATTGATTCAAAGTTGAGGTTGGTATTGTGGAACCAAATGTTGAAGTAAGACTTGTTCTAGATATTTCTATCTCCCTATTTTTATTGTTCATTGTTTGGTGAGGGAGAGTGTTAATGCACGAAGGGTGATGTCGTGCCATGTTTTGTGAGTGTTAATGCACGAAGGGTGATGCCTTGCCATATTGTGAGTGTTAATGCACGTAGGGTGATGCCGTACCATGTTATGAGAGAGTTAATACAGGAAGGGTGATGTCGTGCCGTTTCTATTTGATTCATATGGTGAGGTTGAGAGCAAAAGCACGAAGGGTGATGCCGTGTACTTTCTTTTACTATGGTTACTTGTTTCTATTTGTTCAAAGTATATCGGTTGATCAAAGTGCTTATTTACTGCTGTGATCCTTTATCTTGTGATTCCCCCAGCATGTTTCCCTCCCAATATTACTTGTCTTGTTTCTTTTATTGCTCTTATTGGTATATATATTATTATACTGCACAGGTTTATTTGTAGGTGTCTTGCTTAGCCTCGTCACTACTTTGCCGATGTTAGACTCGACACTTACCAGTACATGGGGTCGGTTGTACTGATACTGCACTCTGCACTTCCTGTGCAGATTTTGGTATTGGTCCTAGTTGATCGAGAGGCATAGTAGCTCGGACTGAACCACCAGATACTCAAGCTAGATCTGTCGGCGTCCACAGACGTTGAAGTCCCCGTCTATCTCTTCTGTTTTACTATTTCTTTCGTTCAAACAGTTGTATTTCTTTCAGACTATTACTTGTCGTAAATCCTAGAATGTTCATGAATTTGTGACACCTGATCCGGGTAGAAGTAAATGATGAAGTTATTATATTATTCCGTACTCGTTGTATTTCACTTTAGTTTATTTACTGTTAATTGTTGAATTGAATGAGGTTTGGCTTAATAATATTCTAATGTTGGCTTGCCTAGCAAGTAAAAATTTGAGGCACCATCACGGTCCCGACAGTGGGAATTCCGGGTCGTAACAGCTCTAAAGTGTATTTTTCTCATAAGTGCTTTTCAAAAAATACTTTTGGCAAGAAGCTACTTTTTTTTTATTCTGCTTCTACTCAAAAGCATTTTGTTTGTTCTAAAAATTTGCCCAAATATTTCAACTTCTAAAATAAACACTTTTTTTAAAATAAAAAGTACTTTTGACTTTGGAGAAACTTGACCAAACATACTATTACTTACTCAGACTAACTTTAATACCACCACTGCAAGTTGTACACTAAGATCTAATACATACTCTATAGCTGAACTGATACGTTTTTAACGATATTAATGAAAATGCATAAAAAAAGTATTATTTATTTGGGAAGTTAATTGTACGATTTTCGAAGAATTCAGAGAAAGCGTAATACAGCTAATTAATACATGTACTGGCATTGATGCCCTTGGAGCCTCAACCTCTATATGGCATATGTAAATGGACATTTTTAGTCTAATTTTTTTTCCATTTCATTGTACTGTTTTCTTTATATTCCGCAATCTCATAGGCATATTCATACTTGGAAGAAATGACAAAAGTTGTGTACTAGATACCAAATTGTCAGGTGATGACAAAAGTTGTGATCCTATTAATTAAACTGTACCTAATTAAATGGAATACCCTTTGATTAAAGTATATTATTAAAGTATGATGTGTTCCATTAAAGGTAATCCTGTCTAGTACACATATTAGTGGGCTTTAATGTCATTTGCTTACACCCTATATAGCTTCTTGAGTACCTCAAAATCCATTCTTCTTCAGCAAGAACCATTCATTTTTATTCCCTAACAAGCCACTTTCTCTTTTCCCTTCCCAACCTATAGTAAGACAATTCCCATCTCCCAAAAAAGGAGAAATACCAANAGAAATCCAACTTATATACAAAGCAGCTAGCTACTCAAGAATTCAAAAGCTCCCCTTTCATATTGCACAAACTAAAGTCTAAGAAGACTTATTTTAAGAATCTTGAGTTGTTTAATTTTCTCCTCCTTCTTTTCCTCTCTCTCTAAAGATAAAGTAAGATTGAGATCTTTTTTGGTGATCACTATCCTTTGTTGTAGATCCCAAAAACCCTTTTTTTCTCCATGTCTGATAATAACCCTTTTTATCATGATTACATGGGAACAGGAGGGGTAAATAATGCATTTTCTTTCTTTGGTGATCAAAATCCCTCAATTTATGATCAAATACCTACTAACACACAAACCCCTCATCAAGATTTTGATCCTTCATCTTATATGAGTACTCTCACTGAGTGTTTACATGGTTCTATGGACTATAACTCTTTATCAAATGTTCTTTGCTCATCTTCTGAAGTTGTTTGTCCACCATTAGATCAAGGTGCTGAAATTCCATTGACTCCTAATTCTTTGGTCTCTTCATCTTCTAGTGAAGCTGGAGGTGAAGAAGATTCTTCAAAAAGCAAGAAAGATTTGCAAGGAAAAGATCAGTGTGAAGATGGAGATGATGATAAGTCTAAGAAAGTGTAAGTCATTTTTTTCTTTGGTCCTAATCTATACTATAAAATAAAGCCGCATCTTTGCGTGGAAGTTTCTTCCTTAATAGATTAGGTTATTGACCACTAGAATATTGCTAGTCTTAATTTATTAATTAGATTATTAACTGGCTAGACTTTTCTTCCTAGTTGCAAGCTTATTCTACTTATTATTTGAAACTTAATTTATAAACTGTACCCTTTCCTTAGTTAAACCTTCCCCCCCTTTTATGTTATGATACTCAGGGAAACCCTAATAAATTCTAATTTAAAGGCTGTTAGCTCATTTGAAAATATTGTACGTGTATAATAGTAATTAAGCTAGGATTTTTCACATGTTAAGATGTAAATTTGTTTATGCACGAAATAATTATTTCAGGAGCAAAGCAAAAAAGAAAGGAGAAAAGAAGCAAAAGGAACCGCGATTTGCCTTTATGACTAAGAGTGAGATTGACAATCTTGAAGATGGCTATCGTTGGAGAAAATATGGACAGAAGGCAGTGAAGAATAGCCCTTTTCCGAGGTATAGTTTCTTTAGAATCAATAAAATTAATCCTCAGCAAATTGTTCTAAATTAGAAATGGATTAATTACAAGCTCCAATAGCTATTGTTCTCTTCAAAATTGATTAATTATCAGTACTACTTCATTGTTTCAAAGTGATCTATGTTTTCATCTTTAGTATTCATAATCTTAACGAGTACTTGATAAATGAGCAAATTCATATAGTCTTTGCATCTCTCAGACTTATTACTTCTGTTGCACTAAGTATGCATATTATAAATGAAAAAAAGTGCAACAATTTGTTAATACCCAAACGTAATTTTTCGCTACCTATTTTGTTGTTAATTTCCTTAAATGATCTAATGATGTACATTTTGGGTTTAACTTATATATACACTTGCTGTATAAATAACTACTATTAATGTATATTTTAAACTATTGTAATAGGTAATATCTGTCTTATTTTTCAGGTTATTACTCCTCTTTTACAGACGGTTACCTATAGGCATCTTTTTGTTGACCTAATAGTAGTGTAAAATTTCAAAGTTATACTCCTAAGTTTTAGTTTGGTAGATATTGAGCAAAAAAAAGCTCATTCAAGGGTGGAGCAAGACTGCCGGGAATTCGAACCTTATATTTGTCTGAAATTTTTTATTAAATATAAATTATTAATTTAAAACACATCAACTTAAGACGATTATAATCACGAATCCATAAACTTAAAATTTTGGCTCATTTCACGCAATCAATCTAATGAGAAGGACTTTTGCTGTTTACAATTGTAGGAGTTATTACAGATGCACAAGTCAAAAGTGCAGTGTGAAGAAACGTGTGGAAAGATCATACGAAGATCCATCAGTCGTGATCACTACATACGAAGGCCAACATAATCATCATTGTCCCGCAACTCTTCGTGGAAATGCAGCTGCAGCTATGCTTTCACCTTCCTTCTTATCCTCTTCACAATTAATTCCTCAAGATGTACTCTTTGCCCAAATGCTTACAACCCCAACCAATCAAAATCAGCTCCCTATTAATTATTCTGTCTATAATTATCAGCAGCAACCCCAATTAGGTCCTGAATATGGCCTATTTCAAGATATGGTTGCATCATTGATCCACAAACGAGAGCCATGAGCATTTATTATATTCTTATGTTGTGCAAGTAAAGTATTAAAACAAGTATGGATCAGATATGGAGCATTCAATGCGATTCCGTGACTTATGTATTGGAGGGTTATATATTATTTTTATGTAAAAATTGTGTAGAACTATTCTAGTATCCTACCCTTAATACTTCTATAAGGGGAAAATGAAGACCATAAGTTGGAGGAAATGGGCTCATGGGAATATCATGTGGGATGATTAACCATTATTAAATGAGGATGCTATTTTTTGATGACTTCTCTGCGTCTATGTAATTTGGGGATTTTATTAATTAGATGAAGTCATTTCGCACTTATTATTTATGTGAATTGAATTCCTATGTTCCTATTCTTTTTTTCTTCCTGAGTATTTATATTATTGCTTGATTTGCACTACCATTATTATGAGTTTTCTTCCTCAATTCGCACTCTGGTTTAATTTGAGAATTTAAATGTGATTTAGATGGAGTGCAAACAAGCGGGCAGGTCGGATATGAGCAGGTCGAAAACGAGTAATGCAAAATCGGATAACTTATTCGATCTAACCCGTATTTAATACGGATAGAATGGGTTAATCAGCGGATAATATGGATATCCATATTAGCCATGACTTCTTGTATATAATCACTTGTGGGAGAATTCCTAATCTCGTAAACTTGAAGAACCCTGAAATTGGGTCTCTGCAAATGTAAAAGTTAAACCTATTTGGTAATCCATATTTTTTAAGTGGATAATATGGATCTGGTTCATATTTGACCCATTTTAAAAAAATTTATTATTCAACCCATTTTTAATGGATTATATGGATGAATACCTATTTTTTATCGAGTTTGCCACCACTAATGTAATACTAAAGGCAAAAAATGTTGAGAAGGATATTCTCAAGAAAGAATGGTCATGGGCAATTCGCATTCAACCAATTATTATAATGTGGATACTTCAATTTTGGGCAAACGATGTAGAATAAAACTCTTTAATGTAGAACATGCGGCATTTTAGAAATTGACGTAATTACTTTGCTCTTTTTCGCTTTAATATAAAAACATGGACATTTTCTTATTAATTAGAAAGAACAACCGAGAGTTGGCAATCTTATGAAGTAGCCTTTCTGTTGCTGTTTTCTTTTACATATCATTCTTTGCATCAAACCATATAAAGTCAAAAATTCAAAGCTTATAAAAGGTATTATTTGAATAAACGACCCTGATTTAGTTGTTGCTTCCTGAGCCATAAAAGGTCAAAGTAATTCCACGTATCCTTTCCAGAATGTTACCGTTTAAGGAAACTGGAAAATAATTAGCGTCAATAAAATATTTTTAGTGCAAAAATATCGTGCATTATTGGAATCACATGCTAAAAAATTCAAACACGTTATGTTGGCTTCATGATCCTATTCAAATGGTAGTCTCTTCCCTTCTTCTTCTCCTTTTTTGTGGTTATAATTGGGGAAATAAGACGACGACGGAGCACATGCAATAAAGATAGGAGCATGACATTGTTGACCTTTTTATGTCCTATATATTAGATAGCAACAGTACAAATGTCAACAAAAAGAGAGCAGGTTATATATCGTTAGGTTCAGAAAGCACTAAGACTTAACATTATCGACGTGGACTTGTGACTTCTTTCTCAGAAACAGAAGTTGCTTGTTTCAACTTCAGTTTCATGCCTTAGACTTAGCTGCACCAGATGCATATAAAAAATTGAACTTTTGCATTTAAGAGGTCGAAACAATACTCACTAAGTCTGTCTGTAATTTCAAGCTATAAAGTATTAGTTGAAGCAGTGATATATATGAAGTAAATAATTGATGTATATGTAGTTATGGAGCCACCTTATATCCGGGGGTGTCAATTCACCCTTTGCAAGAAAAATACGTGTAACCAGGTGTTTACCCTAAAATCCGAGTAACCATTAAACTTGTTTTGTGGCCTTAAAGATATATGATTTAATCCAATACTAATTGATAAACAAGGAATCTAATGTGTAAACTTAAGAGTAAGGCAAGTCAAACCAGTCGTGTAAGCAGACCTCGACCTCGAGCAAGGGCGACCTCGAGGTAAGTGAACAAGAACAGCAAGAACAATAAAATAATAAGACGATTCAGATGAACAGTAAGCAAGAAAGCGAAAGTGTATATTCTCTTCTCAATGATTGATGTATTACAAATGATTGGGGTACCCTTTATATAGTAGGGGAATCCTAAATAAGATACAATTCTAATTGTAGCAGAGACTATTATTATACAGTTGTCTAACCGCCTAGTACAAGTCTGTTTCGGAATTTACGCCGTGATCTTAGGGCCACCGCGGGAATCTCGGTCTTTCTGTTATAAAACCATAACGGTATTATCTCGAGGTTGATCATACTCGGCCCCGGTGTTCATCGATCACTTTGATCTGCGAGTTTCGTATTCTGCCTTCGGGCTCGAGCTCGGTCCATATTGAACTTGTTCTCGACGCGACCCCTCGAGCCTACAAAATCGCGAGCACATGATTTTGACCGTATACAGATAGTCCCCGCGTTTCTTAGAATAAAATGATAAGAAATGACTTGAGTCCCGATTTTCCGGAGTCCTCGATGAGGATGTCATTCCCGTGACGTAGGCGCTCGAAGTGACGAAATGTCCCGTCAGTTCGCTTCCCAAAAATATTATGTTTCATCAGTGGTGGTCGGCCACTAGCGCCGTTGAACCGTCGTCGCTTGCCTATAAATACAAGGCTCAAATTTGAATAAAAACTTTACTTCCATCTTCAAACCATCTTCTAACTTCCTTTATCTCTCTCTGATGTTCTAAACGTCAATACCACACAAGAGGGGGGGGGGGTGATTTGTGTGGTACCTAATTTTTCGCTTAAACTGCTTCTGGAAGGACCTGGTTCTTCTATGTGTTCCAACTACTACTGTTGTGGAATAATAAATACAGAAAATAAAGAACACAAAAATTTTACGTGGAAAACACCCGGCTCAAAAGATGAAAAAACCACGACCTACTACTCAGTAGGATTTTCCCCAACACTTCACTAAATCACTGAGCCAAAAACACCATTTACAAAACTCTTTGTAAACCTAAGGATTACCTCTAATCCCGTTGTAGCAACCATCCTCTAACTGTTGCGAAAACTTCAAGTTAACTCTAACTTGAATACTCAAAATACCTATTACAATTGCTTCTAGATAAAGCTGAAAAGTACAATATGAAAACACCTACTACAATTGAACTAGAAATAAAGAAAGATACATAAAACTCTTTATGGAGCTAGTTCTTCAATCTGGTTCATGTAGCTTCACGTTTTCACACTTGAATCACACACGTACTGCTTGCAAAAAGCCTTGCTATTTTGCTCCCAATTCACGTTTAACTTCTGCGTTTTTGTGCAACACTTTAATGTGAGAACATCCTGCAATTTATAGAGTTAGTAGATGAAGAAATAACTAGAGTTCTGATGCAACTCTTCCTTGGTGGAAGAGTTCTAGTTGATTTCAACTTCTAACTCCTTCCCTATCTTGGATAGTGTTCTCTTTGATTAAGGACTCCTTCTCCTTATCAATTATGCAACCTTTTCGATCAGGAGATATTAAATACACCAAGTTAAGCTTATCTCCTTCACGTGCAACCCACATACTCGAATATGCCCGTTTTTGTGCACCTGAGGGATGGACCCGGTTCATCCTGAGTTCCTTTGTCAGTCTTCAAAACTAACCTTTACTTGGGCCAACAAATTTCCCCTTTTTGATGATGACAAACTTTGTGCTTTTCATAGGCTTAGGCCCTGTTTCAATTCAGCTCAACATCAACACAATGTCCGAAACATTTTTCCTTTTTATCACTTATCATCAAGGACCAGGTACATTAGGTTATAAACATCACTGTTCAAAGGGTAAACATCACTTGTTTAAAGCACAACCCTTTTTCCCCCTTTTGGCATCATCAAAAAGTTGCATAAAAAATGTGAGATAACCAGATTTTAAAACTTACTCATGGCCACTGGGGCTACTTCAAATGCAATCATGAATTAATCATCATAGATCAAGCTAAGAATTTAAACCATCAAAGAAATATAAACAAACAGTTAGAGCAAAAACAGTGAATTTCATTGATGATTGATAAGATTCTACCGCAAAGCATAAGAAGAAATAAAAATACTGAAAACATGAGCAAAAGAAACAAAAAGTCTCGAATTTGGTCACTGGTTGATCTACACTAGGCTAGGATTTAAGGTTTGGAAGAGGTAGGGGCTGGGTTATTTGCTTGGAGAAGTTTCAGCATGTCTTGAAGAATTCCATCATTCTTCTCCTTTTCCCTTGCAAGTTCAGCTCTGAGAACATCTCTCTCAGATTGTACCTCAACCAATCGTGTCTTCAGCCTTGTTATCTCAGCATCCTTTGCCTCACTCTCCTGTAATAGAGCTCCGACCTTGCTATTGATAGGTGTCCTTTTAGATGAACCAGGTTCATTAGGAATGACATTGACTTCATAATCGCAAGCAAGTAGAGTATTAACCCCGAAATGATCCTTGTTTGTACCTTGAAATGTGCAAGCACAGTTGTGAGAATGAAACCATAGGGAATGACATGAGTTTTGGTGCCATTGATAACCCTATCAGTAGGTCCAAGAGGGTTTCCTGTTCAGATGGAACAGGTTCATCTATATTTTTCCCAAGTTGAACCAACCCCTCAGCAGCTTCGCCAGACCCACTTCCCCCTGTTTTGCTCACACTCTCTTCTATTTCAGTAAATCCCTCTCCCCAAACAACCATTGCACCAGTTTCTTTTGTTAGACCAACATGAGTGGGTGAAGAATCAACCACTCTTGTACCCTTTCCCCTCACAGTACTCCTAGCACCCTTGCTCTTTTTTTCTTTTCCCTTTTTATTTTTACCACCAACTTCTCCAGATTCTGTAGTCTCAACACCTTTTATAGATCCTACCAGTACAAATCTATTCTCCAAATTTGCAGCAACTTCAGAAATTGTCTCAAGAGTAATTTTAGAATTAGAAGATACCTGTTCAATTTCGGAAGAACTAATCTCTTCCCCCTTAGTAGCAGACTTAAATGAATCTTCAGATTTCTAGGATTCTTCTTCCCTACATGCTTTCAATTGCTTGTTTATTTTCTTGATCTGCTCTCCTTCAGCGAAAATCTTACGAGTCATCATCTTTACTCTACTCTTCTTAGAGATTGGTGTGGTTAAAGCAGTGGTAGAAAGTGTGGAAGTGGTTTCCTGTGGTGGTGATGAAGGATTTTTAGAGGTGTTTGACATATCTAGGCTAGGGTATGGAAGAGAAGAGAATTAGATTGTGTTTGGAAGATGAAAGAAGAATAAGAGTTTTTGACAGCTTGAGAGAGAT